AAAACTTGTTCATAACCAAGTTTCAATTGATGGAAACATTATCCTATCATCTTTTTCGATTGAAGTTTAACAATACCCAGATATTGTTGGTTATATATTTCATTTTCTAGTCACTCTTCTCTAACAAGGAAAATTTGGCTTCAAGGTAGGTAGTGGTTCATAAAAAGACCAATAGATGGCAATATTGACAAAACAGTTGATTAGAAGCTTGATGGGTTTATAACAGTGTAGAGATATTGCTCTGCTACAGGAATGAGAAAATTGTCAAAATTAATGTTATCGTGAAGAAGGAGCAGCAACGCAACATCCTGATTCGTCTTGCAATACTCATGTAAAGACCATGAATTCTATCATCCAGCCATTTCTATTTGGGGTATCCCAGCTCCACAACGAACCCACAGGCACCAATCAAGCAGGGAACTGCCTAAAAGGGGCCTCAGGAGACAGTCATGGATGAACAAGACCTATACAACCACAGAAATAACTCGTCACCACCAGATCTCAGATTTCTCTATGTGAAATAAACATCGGATGCCACTGGAATCTGTGGAAATAAGCCGGGCAGAAAATGTTATGATTGAGCGGAGAGTAAAGCAAGAAAAGCTTGTCACCTATTCAAAGACCACAGTAGGTAGCCACATGCCATTATAGCCACAGATGGTTCCTACACAAAAGATATTGAGAGAGTTCATTTTAGAATTCATCGTCCTGGAGCAACAACATTCCATATAAGGCTGAAGGAGACTCAAACTTTCCACAAACACAAAAGGGTGGAACTGGAAGTCATAAAACAAGCTCTCCTCTAGATTGCTGAATGCAATAAACCATAAATAGACAATATCACCTGATCACAGGCAGCATTGCATAAAATTCGGGGTGGTTGATCCCCAGATGGATGGCAGAAATTAGAGTACTAGTATAATAAGACCACTTCATGGATATAAGTGTCAGGTTATGCAGGGATAAAGCTAAATGAGAAAGCTGACAAATCATAGGAGAAGCCCCTTTATCAAATCCAGCAACATTCAGATAAAAGAAGGGATCAATAAGACAATATATACAGCGAGAAGGCTACTGATAACATAAATAAAAATACTCTCTTATTCCTACTGCCAGGCAGTCATCTTCATATGTGTGGTTTAGTGCCTATCGGTGCAATACCTTGGATTGTCATCTAGTGCTCAGTTCAACTCAAATCAATTTTGGCAATACTCTGGCTTTCCGAATAATGTATATTTGAATAAAAACGAGATAGTTTAATCATTTTAGTTATCAGTGGGAAGAAAAGTTAATAAAATAACTTTAAAACCACTGAAAAATAACAAAACAAATAACTCTAAGACATAAACTACAACATGAAAATTATAAGACACATTTTTTATCTGCACAAACACAACTCACACAGTGAAGGTCTATTAGATTTAATTTCAGTCCACATGTTTTGTGTATATTGCATAAAAAATAATTAGACTTAAGAGCAGATATGGGTATTGAAACCCACAAATTTTCACATATTTACCACTTTTCACTATATGCAACCAGTTGTGGGAAATGGCTGTTCAAAGGCAAGAGCGAGCATGCAGAAGTTTATTAATAAGAGAGAGCTGAGAGTCTAGTAAGATATATTTAGTCCTGAAGTTAATATTCCAGCCCACAGATTTTAGATTGATCCTGTGAAATCTTCAGTAATTCTCCAAATTCGTAATTATTGATTTAAATTCAAATAAAAATATTTTATAGAAAATACAAGTTCATTGGTAAACTAAAAGATTGGTAGACAACGGTTATAAACTGATTAATATCAATAGACAAATTTAGAAATTAATTCTGAACCGCAAAAGAGATCTTTTGTAAATTATTGTTCCTGCACCTCCTAATTTAATATTTGTAATGCAAATTACATGGAAATAACCAATCTCAAAGAATAATATCAGAGGAAAATTATATTTGAGAAATATAACACAAATTAATTAGATTACTCAATCATTAACCTGATCTTTTAAATGATCGTCACTTATCTAAATAACACTAAGTAACATTATCCTATTGGTAAATTAATATTTCAGCTTAAATTGAATTATTATAAATCTAAAACTGATCAGACATGTGAATATATGTATGTATTCATTGAACAACCGTCATTCAATGATGCATGACAATCGATATGAGATTAAAAACTACTTACGTATAGTTCAGAAATAATGATAATGGTGACTGATTCAAATTCAAGTCCGGTATTCAGCGTTTAATTAATGTACAAACTATCTCTGACATGTAACGAGAGTTCATTATTGTGAAATATTCCTTAGTCCGTCCAAAGTATATCTTAACTTTAGTGTGAGCAGACAATGGTGCCACAATCTTGGAGAAGTTGGTCATAAACCATCCGTAATATGACGCAAAATCAAGGAAACTGTGGACATTTTTACCTGGTTACATTTTGAGGCCAGTCTCTCTCACCACTGCAATCTTGTCAGAGTCTGTAGAAACTCCATCTCTATATATAATATGACTAATAAATTCAATTTTCAAAGTAAATGTAGGGGCTTTTTCTGGTTTCAAGTCTGCCGTTTTTATTTACTGGAATACTATTTTCAGATTCTTATCTGCAGACTGAAATATGCAACCAAACACCAATGCATTAACGATCTAAACAAGGCATATCTCCCATTGTAGTGCCTTCAGTGTAAGTTGCATTAGTCTCTCAAAAGTTGGAGGCACATTACACAGGCCTTAATTGCATAATGCAAAACTCATATACTTCTCGATTTAATGGAAGTCTTAGACCTGCTCTCAACATCCATCTCGACTTGTAAGTAGTGTCTGGATACCAGGTATAAAGGGTTGAACTAAATGGAACCTTATAATGCATTTAAACATTCATCTGTTTGAATCAGATGAAAGGTGTCAACGTGATATATCATGTTCACTAGTGTAAAATCAAAAAAGAACCTGGGTGTATCTTCCTTCTTTCTGAAAATCACTACTGGAGACAATCAAACATGAATGTTTAGTTAATCTTTTGCATGGTACGATCTTGGCATAATGTAGGTGCCTGGATAATATTGTCTAACTAAAGTATAGCTACAGCAGCTGCCACTGTAGGCTTCTTCCTTTCCCGCAACCAGTTCAAAGTTCCCACTTCATAACTTGTTATGACAGAAACTGTTTCTGTATAGGTTAGAATATTTGTCACACCGAGGTGATGCCTCATCACTTCTCTCGAAAATCCATCGATGATATTGTATATCATGATGTTCTCTTAATATGCAGAGAATGTTACCAGGATCACCTTCCCATTCAAGTGGCTCAGATCATCCACGTAAATGATCAAGTTTTCAGTGGCATCCCTCTATGCCTTGAATTCGATTTTGGGTTCAGCTTTTATTTAGTTTCCTTTGTGCGTGAACATTTTAAGGATTAATTCATTTTCTGGCATTTTGTTTTCACGTTTAGCTTCAAGCTTAACTTTAAACCAGAACTGTTGTGAGAGACTTAATAAAGATCTTTCTTTCTCTCTCCAGTTCTTCGCAGCATACTAGGAACACTTGACTGTGTTTAATTGTTTAAAATTGATTTGTGTTTGATAAAAATTGTTGATTTGTACAATTTTGTGTTTAATCTCTTTTCTTTTTTAATCAGACAAATTTAAAAGTCAGACTTTTACTCCGGGATATAGTATCCAATGGATCTCCTGTTTTTTCAGATACTTCCCTTTTACTTTCAATGAATTCGTTGAATTGAAGGATATCACAGAATATGTAGGAAGGGGGGAAATGATGCTGTTACTATGAATAGCATTATTGTAGATGTTTTTCCCTTCAATGAGTGTATTCCTGCATATTGTGATCTCGAGTGACTAAGTTGAACTCCGAATTTGAAGAAAATGGCATGCTTTACAAGTGAAAAGACTTTTGATCTGAAAGAATAATAATCAAACACTGAGGAGAGGCACTTGTAAGAAAGCGTGATCTGGTCTAGGAAAAGTCCTCTTCTGGACGTTAAACTTTTGCTGATGTTTTAAAGGTTCATGACTGACATCTTACTGCAGCTCTAGATCCAGGAAGGAGAAGTGCAGTTATCCAGTGTACCCAATGAAGATCTCCCTTGAGATATCACCTGACTTATCAATGAAAACCTGCTGTCCACTTTCACATAATAAATGCCACTTTACAGCTTTACTTTTCAAGGGCAATAGGCGATCTAACGGGAATAACACAGAACAAGAGTTAACTAAAGCAAAAGTATCTTAACTGCTTTCTTGACCACAAATGTTATATGAAAACTGCACATACTTAGAATAAAAGAAAACAAACTGAAAAAAAATCTGCATTAATAAATCAAATATAATATACCACGTTGTGCACTGAAATATTATAGTTTAATGTATGAGATAGCATTAATTTAACGCAATACGAGAGCTGTGGAAATGAAATCAATTATTTTGATCTCTAAAGCCCAGTTTTGCAAACTCTGATTGATGATTAATTATGACGATTCGAGTTCTTTTTGTAATTTCTGTTAATTTATTTCATGACAAGTTGTGTCGATTTATTTATGTTATTTATGATAACAATACTGTAAAAATAAAATTGATAAAACGTTGTTTTAATTATTTCTACAGTAAAAAGATTTAAGATGGTTTCATTAATTTTGGTGCTATCTCACATGATTTTAATTTTACCATACACAATCGGACTGATTAATATACTTTTTGTTGTTGTTGTTTTGAAAACGAACAAATAATTTTGTAAAAAGAAAAAAATTATTAATTCACTATAGGGTAATTACAACCGTATTTCAAGGCCCTCTAGGGTGTGGATGAAACGGACGGAAGAGGGTTTTGATGTTACACCATCAAGTCTGTGAATAAAGAGTGTGTTGGTTTGTTATTATTGTTGTTTTTTCTCGTTTACTTTTAATACAAGATATGTCACTAAATGTGATGACGTATAAATTATGATATATATAATAAAGACTGCAGTTAAAGAAATGAGAGATCTAATATTGAGACATCTGTTTTTAAGTTGAATTTTGAAATTGAGTATTCGTCAGTTGTAACGGTTTGACTTTGAGCACTAATTAAAGTAATTTAGATTTTATCTTTGCTGAAAGTGAGAATGAAAAGTTATGCCTTTTTCTTTCGAAATTCAGAGAGTTTCACTTTATTATTTATACTGCTATTGGTACTCGCTTTTTAGTAGTAGTTGTCACCAGTTTGATCTTGAAAGTTGAAGCTGATTTGGACATGCAATTACAATTTACAATTATGGTCTAATGAATCACGTTATGATATTTTTATACAATTTTGATTACTGTGTGCTAGAAGTTGAATGTATGTTTCCTATAGTACATTAGATGTTAGATTTGAGCAAGTTATATGTATAATATAATAATAATATTCAATATTTTTATGTTTATTTTGCTACTGTCCTGTACTGTAGTCAGCCAATACTTATTTCACTGTTCAGTGTTTTTACAATTTTTGTATATATATAGTACAACTTATGTAACACTGTATTCAGTTCAAACATTTTGTGTGAAGGAGTAATAATAAAGGAGGCCTGGCAAGATCAATGACCAATAGAACCAAAAGTCGGTATCAGAGTTATATTCACTTTAAATTCAAGTAGTATCTTATTTAAAATACATTTGAAAATTTGAATTTTTTTATTCCAATATCTGGTCAGTGAGGTCAACAGAAACTAAATGGTGGACTTTGCTTTTTCAGGAGAGGTAGTTGTGTACAAAAACAAATTTTTGCATATGCAGATAAAATGATTACATCTATACCTATAACAGAATTTTATGTTTGTATGTATTTAAAAGATATACTACTTGAATATAAACTGTGATAATGACTTTTGGTTGCTGATCTTGCTAGTCTTTCTTTGGTGACAGTGGTAGTAGTATAAATATTGTTTATCAGTATATAAAAAAGAACATAATACATTCCAAAATCAATGAAGTTTTCCAATAGTAAATTAAAGCAATTCATTAAATATGTTTATGTGTAAACATTAGGCTAAAGAAAGGTGTATAGGATATGGAAATAGATATTACTAGTAATGAATAAAATCAGTCTTAACTCTGTCCAGACTTGTGCAGATATTCTGTCTTCAAGTTGCGACCATCACAATGTAGTGTGATTACAGTTTTGTTTAGCAATCCCTTTAAAGTCTTTTTACAATCAAAGTTGGTTTCGATTGGATTCAAGATGTCATGAGGAAGGGGCAGTTGCTCATGAGGAAGGGGCAGTTCATCAACTCATTCAACCACTGCTTGAACATCCATCCCACTTTTAAAGATTTAAATAAAATTCTCCTTTACCGAAACTCTGTAAAAACAAAATTTCTCATCAGCTGAGTTAAACTTCAGTAATCAAACTAGCTGACTACTGCTTTTAACAAAACTATAAAATAACATCTACCATATGAGGCTTCTTTTTTTTAAATGATCTCATTTTTTTGTTAGCCTATACTTATAATGAAAGAAAAGTTATTTTATGATCTGGTAGTATATTTGTGGACAAAATATACTTGATAAATAAAAGTTACATACCTGGATTCAGACATGATGTATATTATTTCAATGAAACCACAGTGAAGAATAGAAATGCTTTTGTTCAGTGTTTATAATACATAATTCAGAATAAATCCAATAGAGATCAGCACAAACAACATTTCCAAAGTTATCTTGTAGCACTGATTGTAAAACGTGATAATATGCAAATAAATTCAGGCAAATGATTCAAAATACATTGAGAAATGGTTTGCCTGATTTAAGGAGATCATCTAAATTTAGTATAGAATACATTACCTAATAAACTGTTCTAGAATAATAAAAAAAAAGGACTAGGTGAAATTACTACTAAATCTAATAAAAGTTTTAAATAATTTAAACTGATAACTAAACAGTAGTGCTGCTTTAAAACAACTCACAGGTCATACTTGGGTCTTTGCTTTTTCTTATTTATATGAATGATAATGATAGGTCATAATTAGTGAATTAGTAATGTGCTGATGAAATAAAACTTGGGTATTGAGGATGTTGATATACTTCAGTGTTTAGTTGGACTAATAATTGACAAATGGCTTTTAATTACAATAAGTGCAAAATAATTTGGATCATATGTTTGATATACATTGTTTATGGGAGTTACCCATTCAGTAGCATGACTGAAAATGAGAGAATCCTCAATAGTTGTGGCACTTCAAATTTTACTATGTTATAAATATAATCGAACAAGAGGATACAACTTTAAGATTTGAAGAAGACAACCTAGTTTTTAGTTAAGATATTCAATTTTTCTAATATGTAAACTGATTTATGGAATGATTTGTTATTTGCATTAGTTGAAGCCAGCAACTTGTTGGAGTTTAAGAAGGGAATTGTTGAATTCTTCAAAATAATAATGGTTGGATGTAGATTTTATTATTTTCCTTAGGGGATGGTGCACAGGGACAGCCTTAAAGAACCAAATATTCATTTATTGTTTGTTTGTTATGTTCAATTTTAGACAAATTTGTGATTTTGTTGGTATGAGAACATTTCTTGAAATAATTTAAGTTTTGAGAATGTAAACAAACAGTAATTAAAACTATCACCATTCATTGTGTTTTGCTGAAAGAAAGAATTATCATTTTAGTGTCTTTCCTATAGATTTTTTTTTGTTTGATTTCTATAATTTTTTGTGTTTGTACAGTATTGACTTAAGAAGTTTGAAACAAGATGAAACCTGGTGAGTACAGTTAAATAGCTACAGTTGACTCATATTTCTAGGCAAATGTACATCTCATTGCTTTAATGTCTTTCTTTTTGAATAAAATACACATGCTAAAGAATTAGATGCTCATTAATCTTAAGAAATGTATGTTAACAGATTTGTGTACCTATTTTTTCAATGTCGATAAATTCCTAAAGAGAAATTGATAATTAGAAACTGATTTTGAGATGCCATTTTTTAAAATGTTCATGTTATGCCAGTAGCCAGCCCACAGTTTTAAAAAGATTATATTTTGCAAGCAATAACTTGGAAACTATTGACATGGGTATATCACTGTCAGAAGAATAGCTTACTGTTGGAACAATAATTAATTATCGTGATATTATTGATAATGTTTTTGCATTAATTATTTTATTGCATCCATCATTTAATATGATACAGTTGAAAAGCAAAATTGCCATTGTAACTAATAGGTAGTATTTAAGGGTAGTAGTAGTTCTGTACTGGAGTAGTAAGCAGTACTAACCTGTGGGCATGAGGCTTGAGACATGATCTGTGATATTGGGAATGTGATACACGTGCAGTAAGGTGAAAGTTTGAAGTCAATGGTGGTGGCAACAGCAGTGAACTCTGAACTGGCTGAAAAGGTTTTAGGAATTTTTTTGAGTCATAGAGAATGACCTGCAAGCTGGTCTATGTTATTCCAAGAAATTTTGTAGACTTTAATTGTTCAGCCAATAATCATAAATACTGTAATAATTTTCAGCTGATAACCTTAACTTAATGTTTTCAATATTATCAACCATTAGTGTAGCTAGAACCAAAGAGTTGAGGGGATAGTGAATATCTTTGTGCCAACAATATTGCAAGTGAAAGTATTGAGAAGATCAAAACTAGTATTATATCTCCTGTCAGATGCAGATGTCTATTAACACATAATCCTTACATGACATATATGTAACTTTTGTTAATAATTTACAAACATACTACTTTCTTTTTGTGCAGTCGTTTTCTAAAAGCCTAATCTATGATGTATCTCAATAAGGTGTTTATTGTTGATTGGTTTGTGTTGTAGAGTTAATTAAAATATTGTTAACAGGAAACATCCACAAGCCTAGTTACATAAAGGTTTAGTAGTACTGTGTATAGAATAGCTGTACGTGTACAGGATATACCATGTAGCTGCCAATCTACCAATGCTTGAGATTAATGTTAAAAATGAGTTGGGTATAGTGTTATCATCCTTTTCACTCATCACGCTAATGTCTTGATGTTAATAAATCTTCTATATGACAGAGCTTGCATAGTTTTACTGAAATAATGTTCTCAACCCACTAACAACTAAAGATGTATAGATAAATATGGTCTTCCCAATTCATGCTGTGAAAATTATTTAATCCATCCATATAGTGCATGTACAAGAAACAAATTTAGCTGTAGAAATTTCAGTTTTCTCCTATTTCCAATTTTCACCTTTTCAGAACCCTTGAAAATATGAATAATATGACTTTGTTCCCTTTACCTCAAAGTTACTGTTTGTAGAGACAAGTTATATTGTGTCTTGACAGAGATACCAATTGAATTTGAAGCAAGTACATACCTAAAGTAAAACTGGTATAGTAAGTTGTAAAATTAACAGTGTATATTTTTCCCTTACATTTATTAATGTACTTGTAAGTTTTGCTGGGGCAGCCCTGTTTTTTTGGTAAGTTGCCCAGTATCCCAAGAAAAGTTCTCAGGATGCATCAAATGTCCCAATTTTATGATAAAGGCATCAAGCTGTCAGTTGTATCAAATCACAAATGTAATAGACCTACTTGACTTGCTCATGCGTGTAACATGTACTCTTCTGCTGCCAAACTCTCAAAGGTTCTGTCTGTGTGTGGGGAGAAATCCATGTCTGAGCAAGTGTGAATGTGGAGACAGATAAAACAGTACTCATCATCAAAACACACTTTACACAGTCATGTATTGGGTTTTATTTCTACATTCCATTCATTCTTCACAAAAATATGTCTTAAAAAGTTTCAAAGTAATGCTAAAGTCCTAAAAATAGTATAAGTGAAAATGTTATGGATTCTTAAATAAATCCAGGTAGGACATAATCTGTTTTAAGATGAATTGGATAAAGTGAATTATTAAAGATTTATTGGATGTATAAGTTGACTATTTCTGCTGATTTGTTTTGTGTCTGTCACCAAAAAGACTAGTTAAAATTATTCCAAAAACAATGTCAATGTTAATACATTTTGAATTATTGTGGAACAGTTTAATAAACTTAAAGTAAATTAAATAAAAGTTAAATTATTTCAAATTTGAAATAACTATTTTAAAATTAGGGGCAAAGGCTGGGCTGGCTGGGTTTTTGATTTGGAAATCTGGTCACCCTACCCATAATAAAATTTGTAGGATCACAAATAAAGTCTGATATTTTGAATATTTTAACAGACTGAATTTATTTTGTAACAAAAAAGAACAGGAGAGCTGACATAAACATGAGTTAAAAGCCCATTAAAAATATCTCTTCAGCCACTGAAACAACCAATCTATCTTGATGTAGCCTATCACATACATATATATAACTATGTTGTAACTGTGTGATACAAGTGAAAAGCATTTTCATACTATAGTTCTGACAGTGATGCTCTACCAGCTAGCTACATTACTCAAGTACACACCCAAAAAACTTTTCACTTAGCACCTTGCATATCTAATAAATTGAAAGTGATTTAAGCTAACAACTCACACCATATCATTAGGTAAACATTCATAGTTAGCTTATTTAAATGTTTAATAATATAAAACATCAGAATTAACTTACCTCCAATTCTTATATGCTCTCTAAATCCAGAGATGAAAACCAAAATCTTTCTTCTTTTCTTTTCAAGTTATAGAGCAGACTGCAATCTTTCCAGCATGTTGATATTCCTTCTGTAATAAGGAAACCAAAACTTAACATGGTGCTCAAAATGAAACCTCATCAGTGTTTTGTATAAGTTTACAATATAAAAACATTTTTATAATTTTATATTGACCTTCTACCTTACATTCAGATGTTTTAGGGATTTATCAGTTATCATATTTAAATCTTATCTTTCTACAACACCATTATTCCTCTTACATTAAAAATTTTCTAAACTCTCTTTCCCAAGTGCATCACTTTCACTTCTTTCTTAAACCATACAGATTGTTGATTTTATTCCCATTTATTTAAAGTTTTAAGAGATCTTTGATAGATTCTATCATTTTGTAAACAAAAGAAATCAAACTAATATACATGTAATATTATTGGACTTCCCTTAACACTTTTCATAAAACTTATGGGCCACATCAGCAATCTTCCAATCATTAGAAATTCTTCTGTTTCAGGTACTGTTAAATTTCAAATCTCATCCTACTCAAATACTTCAGATTGTGTGTGTAAAACTCATCAGGTCAAAAGTTATGCTTTCAAGAGGTTTTGTCCCCTGGAAGGACAATGGTAAATTACAGACTTACAAATCAGATAGCTTATTATAGCTTTGGTCTAAAATAAACTTCAAGAGGTTCTCTATTTTTTCTAAAATAGTTTCCAGCTTCCTTCTCAACAGTAAAAATAAATATAAGGAAATCTCTTCTCTCTAAAGCATCCTGTAGGTGTTATACTAAGGGTTGAGTATGTTATATTAAACTTATTTTGAATATGGAACACAGCAAGTTGCAGGACAACTACAGCTGATATAAAGTCATGCTGAAACATAACATATCAGAACTACATTTTGACATTTCATTGTTACTGCAGTGACACTGAAAATTGATTACTTTTGAAAAGGGTGTGTAATAGCCACTTTCAAATGCAAAATATTTATACACTAAGATCATAAAGATGTATTCAAATCAGGGATTTATAATTTCCAAGATTGGAGTATCCATTGATCTTAATGGTAATATACCCAAATTACTATAGATCAACTTGGGTAACAAGGACTATCCAGAAACAGACTTGCAATTGTACCCAAACCATGGTTAGCAAAGTGTTGTATCTTGTACCTGGTGAGAATCCCCAAACACAAAGGTCAGTGGCAAAAGCCATCCAAATGTTTCAGGCAACAGCATGTAACATAATCAAGGAAGATATCTGTTTGGAAATGAGGCCAACAGAGTATTGATTCATAAAAATATAGGTTACACTCATACCACCCATTCAGCAATTACATATGCCAAGTAAATGGAAAGTGAAACTGTTATTTACACTATTCCATATATAGACATACCAGTTATTTTGCAATATACAGCATCTATGGATTTTTGTGCAATTAGACTGTTGAAATTGACACTTGGAAACTGTTGTTCTTATATCCTCCATTAATTATGGAAGACGTGCAAGTAGAAATGGTGTGCTTTGGACATTACAATTTTGCGACAGAAACTATGCTGCAGGGCTATTTTCAAGTTGTCTTTCTTTCAGGTAGAGCATGAACAGGTGTGGCAATATGGACTGTAACAATGTGGTGAAGCTCCAAAACCATTTTAGTATAACATACTCAATCTTTGTAGTGTATTTCTAACTACAGTTTATGGTGCTTGGACTTCTGTTGCTCATACACAAAAATTATTATATTCGTCATTTTAAAATTTTGATAAATGCTAACTAAGTGAGAAACTAATTATAGTTGCTGTTGCATATATTTTATTTTATACTAACTATAGCTGCTGTAAACTTTTATATGGATATTTGCTCCAAGTATGAAATATTTATTGATAACTCAAGTGTGCAATACAGGTCATTTTACTCACATTTTAAAATTCTTGCTGTATTATAACTTTCTATGATATTTTGTCTATATTCTGTGGATTGTTTTGATACAAGCAAAGTCTTTACAGACCTCAACCTAACTCAGTACCATAAGACAGAGTGACTTTAATGTAGTATTGGTGAATATCTTAGAAACTAGACTAGATGTTCAATTCTATATAAAAATTACTGTATTCTCAAGGACTCTTTTAAAACTCTTTGTGGAACCCAGCAGGCAGTTACTATTTTAAATTTGATATTCTTCCTTGGTTTTTCATTAGTTGTGCTACCAGAATTTTGTACATTCTCAAATGTAATTTTACTTCTGTTTATAATAATTCTGCTATGTTCATTACAGAAAAAATTATTGATGTGTTAGACAATCAAGGAAGAGCAACAGGTGAAAAAGATTGGTTTCAAGGAATTTTTGGTGACGTAACTAAGGCTTCTGCTGCTAAGCAAACAATAGTTGGAGGAATTACTGGATGGTGAGTTTTTCTAATTTTTTATTTTTAGTTTGAAACAGTAATAATGAGACTGATGTTACACTCTAAAGTAAGTGATGAGATTGTATTTGTTAATATGTTGGAGCAGTGATGTATTATTAGCTCTTTTAGCATGGGCTCTGTCCCTGGGACTGGTCTCATAACCATTTTGTGCTTGTTATAGATTTCATGCTATAACTTTTAAATTAGTAAGCAAATGTTAACGAAATTTGGCAGATTATCAGTAAACATTATAATGTTTTTGTATCCAAAACATCAAATTTTTTTATTAAGTCTTAAGGTTTGTAAAGCAATGTTTTTCTTGTGTCTTTTTTTCTTCTTTTTGCATGTTGCCTTTCTATCATGCAAAGTAATATTCATTTTAAAATGAAAAATACTTTTATGAATCAGAAAATTTTGAAATTTCACATGTGAAATCTTTATAATGTCCAAATAGTTATCAAATGTTTTTTTAAGAAAAAAAAACTTTATATTTTATCTGTTATTTTCAGTAATTAATCTCTGTACAGGTTTGGTAGAATGGACTGATCTCTCAACCAACATAAAAAATTGGAAATAAATATAAATTATGCCTCTTTCATTCTAGAATGAACAAAATTATAACACGAAAACATAAATATTTAGATTAAATAACTTAAATCTCATAACATTATACATTTATATATATTTATTGTTTTTATTATATTGACCTTTCAGTCGAGCCTGGCTAAAAATACAGAAATTACAATGACGTGCCTCACGTGCACTCATGTTAGTATATCAAATAACATAAAACTGACCCTTGGTCTG